ATGCCTAAAATATTGGCAATATCCCATTTTTATTCTTACATATCATGATAAAATCAGCAATAAAGTGTAATATTGTACATAAACAGTGTCTGTCCCTCTGTTTGTCGTTCTCCCACTGCACACAGACTAAGCATAATGTAACAGTGGTTTGGAGTGTTGCTTCCAGCTGTTTATGAAGCGTCCTGTCTGTGACTTTATTAAATGCCTGCAGATTTACAGGGTAACCTGCAGTAGCGCTGCCCATTTCGCTATCCATAAAGCACAATAGTAAAATGTGACCTTAAAATTATTTCTCCCTCTATGATCACTAAAGGAGGTCTGTAGCTTTATCTATGCTGAGATTTTAGGTACACCTAGCAGTAGCTACTACAGTCTACTACCATTGTAGTGAGGCATTTCCCTTGTTTAGTCTAGCCTCGTTTATAAAAATAGGGTCAGCAGAATAATAGGCACAACTGTGAGTGTGTCACAATGATACCAATGCACTCGGTGATCATACAGCTGAATCAAAGCATGTGTAAAACAGTTTAAAAAAACGGGACTGTACTGGACTGAATTAGTTAAACTGGTTGAAGCTAATAAACTCACAAGTGAGTGTATTTTTTTTTTGCACAGGACAGATGGGAACTGTGATCTACTGACTGATTGTTGCCAAATAGGATACAGGAATTTTACACTCACATTAAAAATAAAATACTGATGACTGCCAGTGCTAACACTCAGACTCTGAGTAGCTACACCTGTGGTATGAATATTAAAGTCCTTGGTGATTTTCAGAAAACTTGACCTCTGACCTTGACATGGGTTTAGGTCACAGAGATTTGAATTCATCTGAGTTTTTTAACAGATGCATCTTTGGTATAAGCTAGAAAAATTACATCCGCTCGCTCTCGATTGATCAATTTTCATATTCATCAACTTGGGTGTCCATCCCATCCGCTCACTAGGTGGGGTGATGACAATACATCATCAGCCTTTTAGGGCTGAGGGGTAAAAATTAATGACATAAAATGTTTTAGTTTTTCCAATTTGTGAGTGGTTTGAAATTTTACACATTTCAAACTAAAATTATTTTACACATTACAAATCTTACAGTAGGCATGCCTACTGTAAGATTTCCATTCATGCTCACGCTCGCTGATGGTTCCAGCTCCACAGGTCTCCGTCAGGCCGTATCCTTGACCCACTGGGCAGCAGAAACACACATTCATGAAACGCTGCGTGGCTGCTGAGAGTGGCGCTCCACCTGAAAGCAACACCCGTGTCCGTCCTCCTAGCAGAGAGCGGACTTTCCTGAACACCAGTCTGGATGAACAAAGGAGGAAATACATGAAGAAATTATGACTTTTAAATATTCCTTGAGAGTCCAAGCTGCAAATGCAACAGTATTTGCTGATATAAGTCTCCATACCTGTCACACAGCGGTGTGCTATATCCTTTGGCGAGCTGCTCCAGTTTGTAGTTGTATGCCAGAATGAAGAGTGTTCGCTGAACACAGTTCATCTCCTCGACCTTGGTCATCACGTTCTTATAGATACGGTCCATGATCTCCTGAAGTCAGGAGGCGGGACAGGGTGAAAAGAAAAAGAGCATTATTATGTAAAAGGTAACAATAAGAGCAACAGTTAAGACTGATACAGATACAGAGAAAAGACTAGAATGATGGTTAAGAAATGTAATTTTTATATTTAACCTATAAGTGAACTTACAGCTGTGATTAAAGGTGATTATACTGGAGTCAGAGCAATGAAGAGTTGTATGTATCTGAAGCAGAACCTGAGCAATGCTGGATTTTAGAGACCAGTGCAAGTTTATATGGTGAGAGTTTATTAAAATTTTTTTGAAAGCACGGAAAAGAATCCAGCCATTGTAAGTTGGAGCACGCTCTGCTGGACAGACTATGCGATGACACCGGTTCTAATGTTACCCTAAGCATGTTTTTCAGCATCAATGTGCATCAATGTTTGACATCTAAACCAACATATACACTGATAGCAATATCCCTGTCACAGGACGACAACAGGAGTTAACCTTCATGTTGGGTGGGTTTTTAAACAAGACTAAAAACTAATGTGTTCAAAACCCCCAAATCTCATATTTAAGCAACTTTATAAAACAAAAAAAAGATCAACACAAGCACACATGCACATGTGCTCCTCAAATCTGGTTTCATAACTATAAGGCTCCCCAATGGATATCTAATATGTTTCTAATTTCTATGTGACCTACAAAACTAAAAAAAACAAAACAAAAGCAAACCAGAAGAGGGAATCTCTCTTTGGAATAAACAAAACCATGTGGTAAACCCACTACTAACTGTGGCCCTAAACATTAGATTGTTTTTTTTATATTTATTTTTTGACATTTAGCCTTTGTTGGATAGGAAGGTAGGGAAACACAGTAGGGGGACAACACACAGGAAAGGATTGGAGCAGACTCAAACCCAGGCCCCTGCAGTGGCAGCAGCTCAACCAGGTGAGCTAAAGCAGCTCCTTCTGAGCTCCTTTGTTTAAAGTATAACAATATGCGAGATAAGCGACAAAGCAAAACATTTGGGACTTCCTTGGAACAGCTTTTACTGATACATTACAGGAGAATTATCACCAGAATGAGCATCTGTATTCATCTCTATTCTGATTTACACTAAGTTTCATCTCAAGTACTTTCTGAGCACCAAACAACAGACAGACTTAGAAATGAGCTGGTGAACATTAAGCAGCAGAGGATGCAGATATTTTTCTACAGGAGTCCAAGAACAGAGTAAAAAAAAAGGAAGTATCACATTTCAATCTGCCTGGTGGCCAGAAACTCAGAGGTCCTAATGAATGCACATGTTTCTCTGTTAATACTGGGTAACTAAGCCACTGTCAGTCATATCAGCTCAAACTATCTTCTTTCCAATGCCCTAAATGCCTTAGCCCAACATTCACAACAAATATCTTCTTTGCTAAAAACGGGCTGAAGTGGTACTAGGAACATGATGGTACAAGGAAGAGCAATGTCAATCATGGGAAGTGGTATCAATTTGTATTACCAAAGGGACTGTGGTGCAGAGAACAGAAACCCACAGATCAAGAGCACTTCATCATCTACATCAGTGTCGACAAAAGGCTGGACATGGTGAAATGGGGAAAGGGCACAAACAAACCCCCCTCCCACCAAAAAAACAATAAAAACCAGCTGGTCCTGTTGGGTTTGTGCATGTGTGTGTACGTGTGTGCATGAAGCAATGAGAGAGGAAGTCGACACAGGATCCATGCAGCCGCCTGCTGTCATATCACAGCAAACAATTTGTATGTGTGTGCGTGTCGTGGGGATAACCACATGGGGCTTTCTCACGTTCTGTTTACAGCTGTGAATGGTTCCAGAAACTGGGGCCCTCTGGCCTTTACACTACGACCACTGGGAGATGGGGGGGAGGGGGTGTGTGTCTCCATGTGAGTGAGAGGGAGAGAAGAGTGCATCCTGTATTGAATACAACTAGCTCGTTAGATGACATTCATTTTCAGGCGTCTTCAGTATTGGCAATGGTCACAGTCAAACAACAAGATATGGGAAAACAAAATCCTGAATGGAGGAAAAGTACCGAGACTATCACTTTATCAATGTGGCTGCAGTCTGTTGACTTTTGAACAACTGGTAGGTTAGCAAATGTAACTTTTCAGCCTAATAATACAGTTAAAACAATATACATGTAAATACAGTGTGAACTTGGGCATCAAACTGGTAAAGTTTTTTAAAACAGGAAAAGAACTTTGAGGCCACAATGTACACAGATTTGCTCATTATGGAATGTCATATTAATTTGGAGCTTTTAATACTTTTTTTTCTGTTCTTTTTCCAGACATCTTTAATGAGGCAAAGAAAAGAAAAAAGGAATTGGCTGCATAAGTTTGAATTTCTCTTGGTTTTTCTCAAATTCTCTACACAGAATCAAAAGATTGCATACATTGCTGTCCATGTATGATTGTAACAAGCAGTTTCTCTTTGCCAGCATAAAAATAATTTATTTCACAACACTCTTTCACTCACTCATTTCTGTCTGGGATTAATAAAGTTCTGATTCTGCTTAGATGCCTTCTGGAGAGACGTTTTATGGTGAGACAAGATAAAGACTTGGCTATGTAGCCACAATTATAAGAGATATGTGGAGGAGTAAAGGCGAGGTTTTCAGTGAGAAGCTCAACTTCTGAAAAACAACCCCACACCATAATCCCCCTTCCACCAAACTTGTACACTTTACCGTTCTCCTGGCAACCACCAAAACCAGACTCGTTCATTGGATTGAGAGACCGAGAGGTGTAATTCGTCACTCCAGACAACAGAGGTGGCGTGCTTTACACCACTGCATCCAACGCTTTGCATTGTAATTGGTGATATAAGACTTCCAGGCAGCATCTCGGACATTGAAACCCATTCCATGAAGCTCTCTACACACTGTTCTTGAGGTAATTAGGAAACCACATGAAGTTTGAAGGTTTGTTGCTAACATCGCTCTGTGATTTTACTTGGCCTACCACTTCATGGCTGAGTTGTTCTTGATACCAGTTGCTTCCACTTTGTTATAACCCACTGCGCAAAGTGATGTTGGAGTGACATCTTTTATAAGTCATTTTATAAGTCATTTTTGGACCTGCAATTTTGGTCCACTGAAGGGGCTGTTTTGTAAGTTTAAGAGCAAAAGGAATTTAAACATTTTCTAAATACTCTAACCATTACTATTTTACATAGATTTCAACATATTTAACTTTTCAACACATTTCAATAAATGACAGTTTTAACCTGGTTACAAACAAATGAGTTGATTAACTAAAATACTATCTATATTGGGACCGACAGACCCAATATAGACACGATCACACATCCACCAATCAGTGTTTAGCGGGAACACCTACAGCTGACTGTGGAACATTTAGTAGCAAGAAAATGTCACAACTGGACTTGTTGCACAGGTGGTATCCTATCACTGTACCACGCTGGACTTCTCTGAGCTCTTGAGAGCGAGCTGTTCTTTCACAAATGTTTGTAGAAGCAGTCTGCATGTAGAAGTGCTTGATTTTATTCACCTGTGACTAGAATATCTGAATTCAATGATTTGGATGTGTGAGTGAAGACATTTGGCAACACGTTGTACAAGTTTCCATCCTAGAAAAAGAGCAATGAAGAAATAATTAAAAGCCCCCAAATTACCACAACCTTTATGCCCATGTTGAGTGGATGTAAACCTCTGACCACAACTGTATGTGTCCACTTTTATTGACTTCTTGAAGAAATAACATTTATCATACTATGGCTGTAGATATAGCTGTTATAGCTTTCTGAATTGAAGCATGGATTGGACTTTAAAGTATTCCAAAAATACTACAGCCTCCAAAACACAATTTCAGTGTATGAATTTTGTAGAATGTCCCGGGAAGAGACACGTATCCTTTTGGAGTTGTGTCAGGATGAGCATCCAGCATAAAACTCTTCCAAATCAAGCATGTGGCGCTACCCGCTGTGACAACTCCTTGTGAATAAGAACGTGGTTGTAGAATGGGGGAAAATTAAAATACTGCAAGCTGGAAAATGCAAACTAAAAGACACTTTAACAGTAAAATGTAATATAATTAAGACTTCTTTTGGACCTGTAGACACCCTGTTTCTCCATCACGACTGAACAGAGTGCTAAATTTTGTTGACTCTGAGTATTTATTTGTATGAATATCTCTCTGCAGCAAAGCACAATAAAACTACAACCAGAAGAACCTTCAAAAGCGTGAACACTTGGATTCGTTTGAAGTCATGTTTCAGGCCACAGTCTGAGTTTTAGTCCATCATTTACTATCATTTTTCCCCCCTTTTAATAATAATCACTTCATACACATCATACATCTACCAAGTAGCTACTAAATGTGGTTTTTGGTTTAGAGCAAATGGGGGTGGGGGGTAGGTTTTTGGACTCTTTCACTTAAAACAGCCATCTGCAGCATTTCTACCAAACCAAAAGTTGAGTGTTGTAAAAGAAAAGTGAAAAGACTCTGAAACAAACAACTTGTAGCTACAAATGACCTAATTTCACATGAAAGTTTTTATTTGCATTAACTGTGTAAAATGTTAAAAATGTCCACGTGATTACAGCAGCTTAAATTCTGACATATTCTGACTACCTTGGGGTGTTCTTTAATAAACAAACTGTAAAAAATTTTAAGCAAAGCCCATCTCGGAGTCCTTACTGCTGAAATGGATTAATTAGTAAAATTTACTTCAAAGACAAGCAGCACTAGGCAACCACAAATATTCAACTTAGACCCCTGGGAATCAAACATTGTGTGGTGATTAAATGCAGCATTGACCATTGGTAGGATGTATTTACGTCAGACCAAGATCCAGCAGATCCAAGACTGCTGGACTCTATCACTGCTATTCCATGAGTAAACCTTGTGCACAGGCCTCAAACGCAAGCCAGCAGCATTGTTTGACACACAGACTCAAGTCGAGTGAGTCAGTGAGTGATACTGTTATTGTTAATGGTTCTCTAACACTATACTGGACAGTGCATTAAGACATACCGGGACCGCTGCCATCAGAGTGGGTTGGAGCATACTGGTGTCTCCTTTGCTTCCTTTCTTGATCTTTGTTGACTTAGGGTGGGAGAAAGAAACATCAATTGATAATTTAAATTATTACATTTGTAATTAGCTGTTACCTCATTTTGGGGGTTTGTTTCGCGCATATTCGGACTGAAATTATGTCTAAAAATCTACTAGGTCCAGCTATATACAGTCATGAAAAAGTAAAAGTATCCCCTCTGTCCACTTTAAGGTTGTTTTTGTATCAGTACATAACAGAAAAATAATCTGATGCTTAGCGAGATCTAAAATTATTTAAATACAACCTCAGATGAATATGTTATATTGGTTCATTATTTATTTAACAAAAAGTATGCCCCCGCTGTTTCCACAGGAATTCAGAGGGTAAATAGCAAGCATGTCCTGCAACTCAAACGCATGCTTAGAACTGATCATCTGCAAGTATGAGCACCTCTATAAAACCAGACGTTTTGGCAGTTTGCTGGTCTCGAGTATCCACATGAGTGTTGACAGATGCAGTGGAGGAAAGACATCAGAAATGATCTTAGAAGAGTAATTGTTGGTGCTCATCAGTCTGGGAAGGGTTATCAGGTCATCTCCAAACTATTTGAAGTCCATCATTCTGCAGCGAGAAAGATTATTCACAAGTGGAAAACATTCAAGACAGCTGTCCATCTTCCCAGGAGTGGACGTCCCAGCAAATTCACCCCAAGGTCAGACAGAGCAATCCTCAGAGAAACTGCCAAAAAAACCCAAGAGCTAAATCTCAGACTCTACAGGCCTTTAACCCTTAAACTTCAGGTCAGTATAATTAGAAAGAGAAGTATTTTTTATTTGGAAGGGTTGTCAGGAGAAAGGCTCGCAACTAAACTTCCGCAACAATGTCCTTTGGACAGATGAGACCAAAGTGGAGATGTCTGGCCATACACAGCACAATCACCTTATATTAACTGTATACCAACTGTATAAGGCTTCATGATTTGGGCTTGTTTTTAAGCCACATGACCTGGGCACTCCTTGGATACCAAAGTATTCTACAGCCCTGTGTGAGGCCATCTGTTCTACAATTAAAGCTTGGCTGAAATTGGATCATGCAAAAGGATAATGATCCTAATTTCCGCAGCAAATCTAAAAATAAATGGCTGAAAAGAGAAAGAAATCAAGGTGCTGCATTGGTCCAGTCAAAGTCCAGACCTCAGCCTGACTGAAATGCTATGGCTAAGAGACCGGCACATAAAGGTATCACAAACCTCAATGAACAGAAGCACGACTGTAAAGAAGAGTGGGCCGAAATTCCTCCACAATGATGTGAGAGACTGATAAAGTCGTACAGGACGTTACTGTTTCTAAACGAGGTTCTACAAGCTGCTGAATCATGATGTATCCTTAGTTTTTCACACAATGCTTCTGCATGTTGGCTTAGTTTTTTGTTGAATGAATAATGAGACAGTGTAATATGTCGTGTGTTCTTATTCATCTGATGTGGTGTTTAAATAATTTCAGAACATGGCAAAGATGTCCTGGTATATAAAATCTTAGAACAGACAAAGGGTGTACTTTCTTTTTCACCACTATATATTAAATATAAAATACATGAAAATCAACCAGAATGCACTTCAGATGATACAGATGAGAGGTTTTACCTGGTCAGCAAGAGTCTGAGGCGATGAATAGCCAATCCTACAGCCATGAGACACACATACGAGCTCTGCACTGAGCTCCAGTACATGGGCAAGAGGCAGGTAGCCGATGTAGGTGTCTTCTTCACTAAAAACACACGCAGACTTCAAAACCCCCGATTTGATGTGGGCTATTAAATGTTTGAGACTACCGCGAACATGAAGGTCTTAGGGTCATCCCATCTCAAGTCAGACAATTTTTAGAAGGCTTCCTGCTTCACCTTTCCCAATTTGCGTAAAAACTTTTTGTAAATTCAATTCGGATTTGGTTGGTTGATTTGAGGCAGAATGACCCTTTAGTGAAATTAATCAGGCATTAGTGGTCGTTTATTTCATCAAGCTGAATCAATAAGTAATCAGTAAGTAAGACAAACTATTGCAAGTTATACATTAGTCATATTTTCAAGATATATACTGTTTATGAGCTACATTTCCTTGGAGTTCAGCCTCATCTACTGAAAACATATTCATCTCAACTCAAGTAACAACCAAATTTTGGGGAAATTTCCACTTTAGTGAACATGTTGTACATTCAAGCCATGAATGAGGGGGAGATTTACATAGCCGTGTTACTTAATCCACAAAGGAAAGCCAACATTTTTATAAGATCGACTGAGACTGTCACAACTAAACCCCTTTAACCTCCATCCATCTCACCCTGACTCCTTTTCTCCCACATTGTTCCTCTACTCATACTAAACTCCCTCCCTTTTCTGTTTCCTCTCACTCCCATCTTAATCCCCGGAGACGGGTCAGTTTCTCTTTTAATATAAGCAATTGAGCTGCATGATGATACCAGCTGAACAAGCCTATTTTCCATAATGTTAGTTAAAATATTCCTTTGAAACATGAGAAATTTGAACATTGACCTCAGCTTAGTTTTGATTACAGAGTTCCCGACTATTTCTTCTGCTTCCAGTAATCCATTGCATCACACTCTTCTGTTAATGAACGAACCTAAATGGCATGTTCTAATCTGTATGTTTGCTGGCTGGTGATTCTGCTTGGACGTGTAGCAGAGGAGATAAGCTGCTTTGGAAAGTGAATTTCCCTGCAAAACTTCCTCCATAATTTACAAACAGATGAGTCAAAAATCATCACATTTAAAACCCAAAACTATTAGATCATACCCCGGGGTGTGATATAATAAGCACGTTTGAGGTCTTTACCACAGGTTGGGAATCCTCTCGGCCATTCCTGTAATCCCAGCGATGATGTTGCTGTGGGAGATCATAACGCCCTTTGGAATGCCTGTGGATCCGCTGGTGTACATGATGACTGCAATGTCCGAGGGCAGCGGGGCCTTGTGCTCACGTGTTGCTGGAATGTCAACAGAGAAAGCCCCAAAACATACACACTCAATGTGGCAGAACTGGATTAATGGTTTATAGCACAAAAATGAACCAATTTTTAAACAATCCCTAGAAACACGGTTCATTTGTTGTGTGTGTGCTGGCTAAAAAAGTCTTTTTGTATGTAGGAAAAACCCCATGACTTAAGAGTCAAACACACAGAAAGGTTAAATGGTTATCTCAGAAATTAAATAACCTAATTTCAACTAATGAGGTAACACATCTGGCACAATGCAGAGTTTAAATAAGTGCGTTCGCCAAAAACACCATTTGCACGTGTTCATTCATCTTTTCTCTTTCTCATGTCGTTTGCTGCTGTCTGTCCTTTCTTATCTATTCTCTTCTCCCTCCTTACACTCTTCCTTATGCTCGGTTGTTCCTCTTTAATCATGGTTGCCCCTTTTTTTTTTTAACTATTTGAGCTGTGTCCATTTGATGACATGTATGTTAACAGTATGGTGTGTGCAGACTTTAAAAACTGTGTGTAGGTCCAAATCTTCTTTCAGGCCAACATATTTGCGTGAGAATGATTTTCTAGCTGTCACGTGGCGTGCACAAGGCTGAGGGTGAATGTTGGCATAAATTTTAGATTTTCGCGTATCGGTCCTCAAAAAAACGTCGCTGAGTAACAGATGTTACACATCAGCTAGTCAAGTATTTATGATCATCTTGATGATTTGACACCAGATGCGATTAGCACTGGCTAAGACAAACACTGTACGGTTATATATTGTAGTGACCTGTCAATCTCAGTGCTGACCTGTCCAAAGAAACCAGGCTTCTTCTTTTTTTTATCCTTTTTTGAATACAGAAACATCATTCTGTATTCAATATGATTTAAAACTAGTGATTGAATCTGTGAAAGGATTAGGAAATGATTTGATAAGGACATAAAGGAATTAAGAAGTAGGATAATTTTCCATAAACTATAGAACTTCCTGGTTTCCAACTTTTACCAAGAACTGTGCAACTGCATGTGTTTTACTGGCTACTGCAAAGAGTTGGTATATTCCTTGACATTGCACTGTAGCAAAAGTTGTGCATGACTTTTTTTATGCATTCAGCACAGTCAGGCTGAATGCGGCCTAACACAACTTTCCTTTCCACCCATGATTTCAGTTGCAGTCTGTTTTCATCACTGCCTCCCAGCAGGTAAGGTTAACAATCAAAACATGTGATCAAGTACAAGAAAGGTTTTTTTTACATCAAAGAACAGCAGATAAAGGCAGTGAAAAAGACATTCACATGTCTGGACAACAGAGCAAAATATGATGACTCTCTTGCCTTCTGATCCCTTTCTTGGACTCCTACGGTCTGAATAAATAAGTAAAGAGCAAGTCAGTTTCCAGCGGGAACAGAACCAGTTGGGAAACAAGAGATTGGGTTTTTTTCGCTTTCTGTCGAGAACAAAAACAGATCTAAGAGGCTCAAGCTCAGCAGGCACTGACAAACCAAAGGATGAAGTAAAGTGCATCACAGTCACAAGGGCAGCCATCGCTTCTCTCCCTCCAGAGACGTGGATATGAGGCGTGTGCACTAAGAAAGCTGATGTCATGTGAAGTTAATAGCGCCATGTGTAAACATGACCCTCGCCTATATCCCAGCTCTCTATCCTCCCTTCCTACTTCCTTCTCCCTTTATCTGCACATGACTCTACCAGCTAGACATGTTTTGGGTCAGTCAGTTCAAGGGGCCTCAATAAAAAGTGAAGATGGGTGATGGCCTCTTCCTTATCTGTGTGCTAACTGAGCATGCACGGTATCAACCTTAATCTGACACAGATGTTAGCACTTCCTTCTTCACATGACCTAATGGGCCAGATACCAATCTGCCCCCACTCCATACCCCCAAAATACAAGCCCTGACTATTTCATTTACTTGAGAGGAAGAGATGGCTACGTCCAAAAGCCTGAAAGATTAAAACACGTGCTGTGAACGGTAGTGTTTTAGGACCTCTTAGTTGGAAAGTTGCTTCTCTTCAAGGCGCTCTGCTGTTTGTTTGTTTTTTTTGTCTTTTATAAGTTATAACAGCACTGCCTGCTAATAGATTTGTTTCATTTGCTTTTATTCACTTTAAGCTTGTAACAAGTGTGTTGTAGGTTGCTTCTGCTGCCCCCAAGTGGCCAACTGTCATTTTATTAGTTGATGATGTTGATGAATACACTTTTAAAAGAAAAATAATTAAATGTGTATATATAACTCAATAAACGAAATAGACATTCGGTTTTGAAAATCTGTATCCATGGGAAAACAGGAGCACTGCAAGCTGCTGTCTGTGTCCCAAGTGGCACAGGGAGGAATGTAAAGTTTGGTTTCCACCAGAAATGTTGCCAGATCCATTAACAGAGCGCTGCTTAGTCACAGAAACCACACTAGCAAAGTTAGGACAGCTGTGTGGTGTAGGTGTAGCTCTCTTTGGACTTGAGCTTGGCTGTGACCTCAGAGGAAAACAAAAATGAAGCGGCAGTTCTGCAGTTCTTCTAGTCAGGCTGCATCCAAAAGAGAGTCAGTCCCTGTATGTTAAAAAGTATGTTTAGAGCCTGATACTGGAGTGTAAGGATAGTTTCCTCTTCAAAACAGCCACATGAGTGGTGGATGCTTGGACTGACAGGTGTGGACAGTGGCAGCTACACCTGACTGATCTCTGCTAGGCCTCATGAACACTGATTGAAGTCACTGAACTGGACCCTTCAGTTGTGTTTGTGCTGCTGGAGCGTTTTGGAGCTTTTGCAGTGGAATTATCTGACAAATAATATGGTGTGTTGTGTGCTGCTGACCATTCAGCTTAACAGTGAGATCAGGGCAGTGGCTAAATCAAGCTTTTTCCAATTGAGGCAGTTGGCCAAAACAAAGCCGACTGTTTCCAGGCGGATTCTGAAACCATTGTAGCCTCACTCCACTGTCTGCCCTAACATTTTAGGATTCATTTTAAATGTCTTTTCTTCCCCTTTAAAGGCCTCATTGGTCCTTCCACAACTCTCTGAGCTCCTGCATTCTTTTGCACTCACCCGTTTTTGTCTGATGAACTGCTCTTGAGTGTGCTTAAAACTGTTGTGGCTCCCAGAATGTGGAATGATCTGCCTTTGCACATTAAAATTTAAAGCATTTAAAGCTCTTCTTTCAATCTCTTCTTCTCTTCAGTGACACCTTATGAAACTTTATGACTTGTATTTTATTTGCTTTAGTGTATGACTGTTGTTCTTCTCATATTTTGTGTCTTTTATTTATTTCTGTTAAAAAATATTCACACCGTACTTCTAAAGGCTTTTAAGAGTTTTATTTTTTTGTCAAACTGTAGTTAAGGCCACAGTTTTGGATTAAAATGCCTCCTTAGAGCTCCAGAATCCTTCACTGGAAAATGGCATTTTGCCATAGTGAAGTAACGTGGAAAATATTAAACACTACATAGATCTGTTTACACTGTTAATGTCCTGCAAGAAAGTGCTTTATCTCAAGTGGAGTGTGGTGACTTTAATTGTCACTGTGACTCACCATGATACACAAAACTGTAGAGAAAACCTTTTTCTTAATGGGCAAGCAGCTAAATACTTTTTTAATGTTTTAAAACGGAGCAATCCTAATTCTGTGAGTCATGAACTCTTGAAAGCAAACTTCACATAAATCAATGAACAGACACACAGACAAAACCTACCATTCTCATGCCTGGCTCCCAGCTTCTGAACCGCGGCCATGTTGTGGATGCTGATGCCACGTGGATAGCTGGGCCATGCGGTCGGTGCATTGTCCACTACAATGATGTGTTGCAGCCTTGGAACGTCTGTTAGGATGGCCTGACACACACACACACACACACAC